CAAGAAAACACCCTGATAATAACGTGAACTATGTCCCTGTGGAATAACGTTCAGGTCAGAAACCGCAGCCTTAAGTTCCACAAGGGCGCATTTCGTAACGAGGCTGTGTGAGAGAACATGACAGTCCTCTTGCTCTTTTTCACAACTTCTGCCTTTCCTCTTCTGGGTATTTATGATGTAATTCTTCCAACCGCTTTTCATCACAGACCTGTCGGGAGGCAATGATTGCAAAAGATCCTTTTGTTAACTGCTTATATAGCCAGATATTTCATCTGACTCCCCCAAGCTTTCCCTGGTCCCTTTTAATCTTGATTCTCCTGAGCCCAGCATGCTTCCTTTGGCTATAATAGTCAAGTTATTTTGTTGAAATGTTTGAGAGGTACAGAGGGCTTTGCTGCTGTAGGATGCCACCTGCTGGCTCAAATCTCAATAAAACTGTCCTGAAACCGGAGGATTTTCCTGCTTGCTGAGATACTTGGGCTAAATCCCTGCCCTTCGGTCTTTGAATTGCATCTACAGACATGTGGCTTTTGCAAAACTGCAAAATTGTTATCTTCCCACACTGAATTCAGTGAAACTTTTTACAGAGGGGCTGTTTGTAGGACCCAATCCCACTTCTTTTTACTTGGAAGGAAGGCCCTGTTTGAGAGCCCATGTAATGCACTGGACAGAGTGGTAGACTAGAATTCACGAGACCCGGGTTCCAATCCCCACTTAGCCATCAGAACTCACTGATGGACAGTGCTGCTAAAACCACCCTTTAAATATCTTATTTACCTTCGAAGACCTATTAGGGTTGCCATAAGCAGGGTTCCAATCCCCACTTAGCCATTGGAACTCACTGACGGACAGCGCTGCTAAAACCACCCTTTAAATATCTTACTTACCTTGGAAGACCTATTAGGGTTGCCATAAGCGAGATAAAATCTGACAATACATAACGCAAAGCTTAGCTTACGCATGTAACGCAAGCCACCTATGCCACTTCTGAGTGCTCAGAGGCATGAAGGAATTCTGGGAGCTGCAGTTCATAATCACAAAACTACACAACTCTCCTGCCCACATCAAATCATCACCTGAAAATAGAGAACCAATACAGTTGCTCCCAGGCTTTCAAATGCACTGTCCTGAGAAGCCAGGTTGACCCCTCGCCTCTTGTCTTCCTGTTGTCAGGCAAAGATCTTTCTTTTAACTGATAAGTGTCTAGGGAATGCTCTATTTTTGAAATTCAGGTATTTTTTCAAAATTGTTTTGGGTTTGACTAATATTTGATTGATTGATACAGTATATATAATATTTTTTCGTGTATAATATGCCCCCACTTATAAGAGCCCCCCACTTTTCTAACCCTGAATTTCTTTCTTCTGAAGAAAGTGGAGGGGGAAGGCAGGGATCAAAGCGGAGGGGGAAGCAGGAATCATCAAAGCGATTCATCAAAGCAATTCCTGCTTTCCGCCTCCACTTTATTCAGAAGAAAGTGGAGGGGGAAAGCACTTTCCTCACTATAAAGTGCTTTCTTGCTACGAAAGTGGAGTGGAAAAGCAGGAATCAAAGCGCTTTGATCCCACCCCCCTCCTTACTGCCGTGTATAAGACAACCCTAAAATTTTAATCTAAATATTTTAGAGAAAAGTATCATCTTATACACAGAAAAATACAGTAATTTTGTATGGTATTTTATTTTTATTGTATGACTTTAATCATAAAGGTATATTAAAAGAATTAAAATCCCTCTTGCTGTCTAAGGTGGCAGCATCTTTTTGATCAGTTGAGCCTCCTTCCTGTACAGACGAGAGCAAAATCCACTTTGACTTAATCTCAGGTGGATGTGTGTGGGACAGAAGCAAAATTTTTTTACAGTGTTGGGACTCCAGAGAAGCCCCACTCACCCTCCCCCAACCCCGTGGAAGAGCTACTCAATCACATTCACAAGGGCATTACAAAATCTGTTAATCTCACTTATTCCAAATGGAAAGCTAATCACTGCCTAATTATAATGTAGTAGAAACTGGCAGTGTTACTTAAATTCCAGTTATTAGAGCCCTGTTTCCAAACGTTGCTTGCAACACTCATAATGTAGAGGCCTGAAAAGTGACCGGGGGGAGGGGGGAAGGAACTATTATCTCAGAATTAAGCAAGAATCAGAAAGCAGCTTTAATACTTCCTTAGAATGGTGTATATCCAGATTACTAGTGAATTGACATTGTCTGTGGGATGCTTCTAATGATGGAAAGCAAAAGCTGGCAGAGATTGTAGCTCACTGAAAATCTAAAGCTCCCTACCACCAGCAGGAACATTCTCCTCTAGAGCATTCCCTCCCATGAACAAAAGGCAGTTTGGGCTCATCTCACCACAAAATATCTATTTCCTGCAAAAATGAAATTAAATGAAACTGCTCTCTAGAAACACCAGACATGTTTGATTTCTGTGATCCTTCTTCTCATTCCTTCCCTACTAGATAGACATCATTGTGGCTATAATGACTTCAGGTAAGGCGGCTCTGTGCCATGATGGTGTGAGGCATCCGAATTAGACTCTGTGGTTTGTTTGTTTGTTTTTAAGCTAATGGCTGAAAACCTGTTCCTTGAGGTGTAGATAAAGTTCGTGAAGCCTTCGCGAATACGGTGCATGGAGCCACCACCACCCCAGCGAGATGACCCCCATGAGGGGGGAAATGGAGGAGGAGGAGGCCACCGCCAAGGGTGGAAAAGCCGGGCTGTTGTCATACTCGTCTGGGGGAAACGAAAAGGAGGAGGAGGAGGAGGCGCCATCATCCATGCCGTGAGGGAGCGGACCAGGTCAGTGGGGCTTGTCAGCCTTGGAAGGCAGCCCATCTAGGAGAAGGAAAATTCTGATTCCAAACGTTCACTGCCTTGTGGCTGTATCCACTGTTGGAAAAGGCTTCAGGAGTTAACCTCGAGGCAAAATCCGGAGCTGGAGTCCTGGAGGCAGTTCGTGTCGTTCTGACAACTCCTGCGGTGTCGCTGGAACCAGTTGCATTGGCTCTTGCCTTTCCATTGGACTATTTCAGTGACGTGGAGAGGGGGGATTTGCTGCTTGGGTAAAAACCTATCCTCCATATTATCTTACCCAGGCTTTGTGCTCTGAAGAGGATACTCTCCAGGTCCTCCAAACAGAGCATGTTACCATAGTCTTTTGAGACTGATGCCATTCCAAATAAAGTTACACGAACAAATGCATGCCACATCTTAAACCCTGTAGCCAGCTTTGTACAATTGATTTTTGTACAAAGCTGGCTACATAACTGTTGTGACGTTATGTGGCATGCATGTGGAAGGGCTTCATGGATAGCACTTCTGCCCTGCCACAATTTTTTCTACCAGCACATACACAGAGACACACCGCAGGATTTCAACTAATCTGTTCTTCTCTTTTCTATGCTTCTTTTCACATTTATTTTACTTCGAATAATCAGCTGTCGTAATCTGTACTTTTTCTTCTCATTGAATGACCAGTTCGTAAGTTTCACCCATTTGTAACAATTCCTCATTCACTTATTATTTCTTTTGTGGTCAATCTCTCAGTCTAAGAAATTCTAAGCATGCTATGATAAATCCACATTCGAAATACTTCTAAATTTTTTAATAGTAGCATTACGATTCAATACCATACAGCAGAACTGAGAATACACATCACTATATAATGTGCCCATTTTCAGTTTTTGTTGCATATTGCGTTCTTCATATCTTAAGGCCATCTCTGTTCTGACTTCCATCATATGGCTAGGGTCCCTCTGTTCAATAGTAGCATTACGATTCAATACCATACAGCAGAACTGAGAATACACATCACTATATAATGTGCCCATTTTCAGTTTTTGTTGCATATTGCGTTCTTCATATCTTAAGGCCATCTCTGTTCTGACTTCCATCATATGGCTATGGTCCCTCTGTTCATTCAGCCCAAATCCAAGGTGGTTATATTTGTCAGCAGAATTGCTATAATTATCACAGAAGGTTACTAAATTTGGAAATGGTGTTAAAAAAAACAACCCCTTCCCCATTTCCATTATCTCAATTTCAGTTTCCTTTTCTTCCTAATGGACTAGGAAGCTTTTTTTTAAAGTTCTAAAGATCTGATTTTCTTTTGCATCCTGTTTAAAAAGTGAATATGATAAGCCATGAGAAAAGGCTAAGCTATGACAAGCAGGGATGTTGGCAAGACATTGGCCTCAAGTCCCGAGTCTTTGGCACAGAGTCTTGAGTCCCAAGTCCCAAGTCCGAGTTCCTATTAAAAATAAGCTCTTTCCCCCAGAAAATAGGGAGGGCGGGATGGGTTCTGAGTCCCGATTTGAATCCAAGTCATTGGGGGGGGAAAACCTCTGAATCCAGTCCGAGGCAAGTCATGGGTGTGATTTGAATCTGATTGGACAACAAGTCTCTCAACTCAAGTCTTCCCTGATTATGGGATGTAACATTTAGGGTTACCAAAACTTTTGACGAGCCCAGTTCCTTTTACCAGAAATGTAGACCATCCAGTTACGTAATTTATGCCACATGAGGCTTGATAACACATCAGGTCAACTCTCCCAGTCCCACAGCTGCCACAATCTCTTAGAAATTAAAATTTTCAGAAGTCCCATGGGACCCTATTGTTATGGAGAAGGCACTATGAAGGTCACAGGACTGGGGTGTGTGGGTGTTAATCTGAAAACTGCCACTACCAGGATGACTGTGGTAGTGATTTTTTTAAGGCTCCCCATTCTACAGCCCTTAATGTTTTCCCCACAATGAAAGGGATTCTGTGGGGCTCGGGACCTTTGTGGGGTGGGGAAATTGAAAAAGTTTTCAGAATAATCACCATAGCTGATGATGTCGTCAGTCTTACACCACATACGTTGCGCTACTGGATATCTGTGTAGGTGAAGGCAACTTCCTTTTCTCATTATGACAGAGTCAATATGTTTGGAATACCGATTCCTTTAATAATTCAATTTTAAAGAAAAATGTCTCCAAAGAGTCTACAGAATTAAAGGCAGGATTAACATTATTCATAATCAGTGAATTCATGAAGGCCTTTTTGCACAAGCTCGTCATTTGTACAAGTTGTTACGGTAGATTAATTGCCTGATCTTCTTTAAACCTTGGGATCTTCTTAAATTCATCTTGCTTTTTAAGGAAAAGCTGGGCCAGGATGTGGTCCGCTGTGGCATGGAAATAGTCGTCCATATCAAGAGTTTGCAACTGTCAAAAAAAAATCAGACAACATTTGGATTTAGGAGGGGAGGGAGACTTATTTTGCAATGCTGTGCTCTTGGCTCTGTTAAAATCTACAGATTTGGTGACGGCTGGTTAATAAGTATTTTTAAGAACACATTTAAAATCCTCATCACATACAGGGGTCCAAATCCTTTTGCATTTCTGGCATGGCACAAACAGCATAACTTTTGGAGGCAAATTGCTCTAAGGTCAGAAGTGACTGCAGACACATGCAGTTGATAACTTCTATTGTGATTATTTTAACTTACTTCCAAAGGTTAGAGCATAAGAACTGCTGGATGGCTCAGTGGTTTAGGCCTCTGGCTGTGAAGCCAGAGGTTGGGAGGTCAATTAGCTATTACGCCTCCACGACACGGGCTGGACCTGATGATCCATAGGGTCTCTTCCAGCTCTGTGGTTTTGAGATTATCATTACCGTTTGTGCAGCTACACAAGAGAATTCTTAACAGAATGTACTATCTTCTATCTTGTTGCTGTCTCTCCCAGAATTCTTAACAGAATGTACTATCTTCTATATTGTTGCTGTCTCTCTCTCATCTGAAGTCCCAGTTGGAAAATGGGCAGCAAAGGGGGCAATCATGCCCACCCCATGGAGTGTGGCTTTGGGGAGATGAAAGGCTGTCCTGTGAGTTTTCAGTAGGCTGGATGAGGTCATTTAGCCCAAAGACAATAGGCTCTCCTCCCGCAATGTACAGTATAGTCCTATAGGAAAAGTCCAGTACAAAGTCCTTTCGCCATTATTACTTTTGTCACCTCTACACACATGTGTGGAGGGCAATAAATCTGAAGAAGAGAGTCCTCTCCCCTATTTGCGGATTACTCAGCTCTCTTGCTTTTTTATTTCATGTGGTTCTGTCTCATAAGGAATGAGAGCCAGTGTGGTGTAATGCGGTGCACAGTGAGTGTTGGACCAGGACATAGGAGACCTGGGTTCAAAACCCCACTCATCCATGGAAACTCCCTGCAGGCAGTGGATCTGGTAAAATCACTCCTTGAATATCTCAGATATCTTGAAAAGCAATTAAGGCTTCCATAAGCTGGGCATGATTGTGATCTCATTTGCATGAGCCTATGAGAGGAGTGGAGGGGTGGAGTCAGCGAATATAAGAAGGTTTGGCAGAAGAGATGAAGAGAGAAATAGAGAATTTGCAGAGAGAGAGATAGTCAGGAAGATAGTGAGAACACATACTAACAGAGATAAGATGGTCAAGATAAATGGATAGAGCAGGTGGTGATTAGTTATGTAGCAAGATATATGACATTTTAATGATTTGATTGTAAACACTGAATAAAGAACATCTGTGATTCTGATTAAATTTAACACCTTTCAATAAACAAGTTCTGTCGGCAGTAACCAGACAAGTGTCTGACTAAAGTTCTTTATATATTGTGGAGAAAGGAAATCCACTGGTGGCAGTGAGGAAAAGAGGGAACATCGCAATTGTTATCTGCTGGTGGGAGGACATCGCATGAGCTCTGGGTGTCTGGTGAAACAAGCAGGGGCCACGTGTTAAACAGAACATCGCAATTGGTATCTGCTGGTGGGAGGACATTGCGTGAGCCCTTTGTGTGGGGAAACCAGCAGGGGCCATGTGGTAAACGTCACAGTGATTTACTGCACACAACAATTCACATGGAAAGCCTCCATGGATCACACAGGGTCTTCCGTTCAAATGATTGCCTTCCATACATAGGTGAATGATAGAACTGGAGGCAGAAGTCTCAGGGCCAACGAGCTTCTCCTCATGTAGATTTCATGCCTGGCTGGGGCTTATATCTCTTTCTAAAATCTCTGAAAACATTTAGAACTTGGGCCTGGTTCATAAGAACTCAGCCCACTAGCTTGATTGATTGTCGGTTGTTCCTGGATACGTAGGGAAACAGTGCCAAATTCCTGGGAAGTCAACATAGATGGCTCACCTGGTTTCCAGTGCTGAACGCCAAAATGAAAAACAAATCCTCATCACATGTGCTTTTGATGTAGTGTTGGGTTCCGACTGGGAAAAACACAACGTCTCCGACACCAATGGTGAAGTCAGTGGTAAGTGCAGGTGAAGCAATAACACCCACCTGGAGAAAGAATGTGCCAATGGAAAACACACATCAATGTCTAGAATAATGATTTGATTATCTATAGACATTAGGAAAAGGGATGTCACGTCATTATCTCAGGGGGTAGTGACTGCTGCCCTTTTCTGCATAAAAGGGCCCCCTGGGCCCAGAGATACATATGTGACAACTACTGCCCTATGGCAAATATAATTTTCGGGGGGCAAAGGGCTTGAGTATGTGGTGGCTCAGCATTTAGTCTTTGGGTTAAATGACCCCATCCAGCCATTGATGTTCATGGAGTTAAAAGGTTATCTTGATCCGTTTCAGTCTGGGTTCAGGACAGAGTTTGACGCTGTAGCGTATTTGGTCATTCTGACTATTGAACTGCTCTTGAGTAAGGATAGAAGGAGAGCAACCCTGTTGGTCCTCCTGGATCTCCTAAGAGCTTTTGATACCATTGGTAATTGTATCCTCTTAGACTGGCTGTACAGAAAGGGAACAGGAGGCACTGTGCTACCGTAGTATTATTTCTACCTCCGGGACATCATTCAGGACCCATAGTGATAAAGCTGTGTGATGCCACAAGGATCCATTTTGTTCCCATCCTGTTCAATATCTATACCAAGTTGCCGATAGAGGTCATTTCAAGTTTTGGGGTTGAGTGCCATCAGTCGGCTGTTGACATCTAGCTCTACTTCACTTTGCCAATGGCGTCAGTTGAGGTTGTGCTGAATTGCTGTTTAGATATTGTCAGGGGTGGGATCAGGGCCAATCAACCAAAGCTGAATCCTGACAAGATGGATGCTTTGTGGCTCAGTGATTCCCCCTTCCCAGGAATTAGGTAGATGAGCTGTTCTGGATGGGGCTGCGCTCCCTCTGAAGAAGCAGATATGTCGCCTAGGAGTATTCTTTGAGCCATCTTTATTGCTTGAAGCTCTGGTGAGCACAGTGGCTCAGGGTACCTGGGACCATCTTGGTTACTCTAATAGCCTCCTGGTAGCCTTCTGATTAGACTACTGTAATGCACTTTACACAGGGCTGCCCTTGAAAATGAAGTGGATGCTACAGTGAGTGCAACATGTGGCAGCTAGACTACACGTCTGAAACACCTTTCAGAGCCATATAACACTAGTTCTGAAAGAATCACGATGGCAGCCAATATGCTTCTGATACAAGTTCAAGCCATTCATGATAAAGCCCTAAAAGGCTTGGGACCTGGATACTTGCGGGAACACTTCTCGCTTTATATACATCTGTCCGGTCGTTAAGATCTGCTATGAGTGACCTCTATGTCTTGCCATGGAGGACAGTCCACTATGCAGAGACACGGGAGAGGATTTTGTCAGCTTTTCCTTTTAAAGATTGACTGGTGCAGACAACCTCATTTTGTTGCCAAGGTAAAACACGGTTATTCATCAAGGCCTTCGGGGATGAAGGTCCATGGCTTTAACAGGCTGTGGAGGCTTCATTATTATTACTGGTGTTAGTGTATTATGTAGTTTTCCATGGTTTTACAATATTGGATTGTTCTATTGTTTATATACATGTTTTATCATCATCCTTCATCTTAGGATATAGCTTAAAATACAAATGTCTTAGATGAATAACATACATTTAAAAACTAGAACAATGTATAGCTAATCCAATTTGATTCTTCAGGTCCCACTGCTACCAATCCAAGATCTGGGCTTTTTGCCCTTGAAAATGTTTGGAACCCTTACACTAGGAAGATTTGCAATGGCTTCCTTCCATTGTGGTGGTGTAAGTTAAATAGTTACCTTTCCACATCCACTGATGACATATCCCATCTCGTTGGCATTGAAATGAAAATGGGGTTGGCGGAGACCATTGCTATAGATCCGAAGAGTTCCCAAGGTAAGGGTATCTTCTTTCTGAAGGCAAGAAGCGAAGGCAACAAGAATATATGAACTATAGAATTTATATAAGAGCAAGGATAGTTTGGGGGTAATTGTATGGGCCGGAATTCAATTTTTTAAAAAAGTGTGTGCAATGATAATCAAGAAGCAGCTTCCCTGCTTTATTTATATAAGAGCAAGGATAGTTTGGGGGTTATTGTATGGGCCAGAATTCAATTTTTTTTAAAAAAAGTGTGTGCAATGGTAATCAAGAAGCAGCTTCCCTGCTTTGCTACAGTATCCATCACCCAACCAATTTGACAACCAGTCTGTGACTGATTGTGTGACCAACATCCAACAAAGAGGGAAATGAATGTTTGTTTGATTATTCTAGCATGCAGCTTTTCCCAACTGGAGTCTGGCCATAGAATCAGAATTGTACAGTTGGAGTTCCAGAAGTGGATCAAAAAGATAACACCTTAATTTGTATACTTACTGAATGGAGAAACTCACTGTAAGTTACTTCATTGGGCTTCAAGTTTTTTCCATCTTGTACATACCGAGCCCACTGGATTATTCCTCCTGGAAAACGGAACTCAGTTGATCCTAAATCAAGGACAAACAAGAGCCTCAGAAATCAGGAAAAGTTTCTTGAAATGATGAGTAGTAATCTTACATTATCTCTCAGTTTCAATGTTTTGCAAGATTATAATTGTTTAGACAGGATTTGTAGCTGCGAATGGAACCTGAGCTTGGCATGTAGAAGGCCCCAGATTCAACCCCTGACATTTCCTGGACAGTCGAGGAAAGACCTTTCATTCAAACTGTAGAGAGTGCTGCCTGCCAGTGTAGACAATAACAAACTAGAATGGAGCAGTAGCCTGATTTTATGTAGTGTAGCTTCCAATGAGTACAGTTTTCTTCTCAGTTTAAAAAACCAACAGTGAGCCAGTCGTTATTAAAAAGTGAACAGTCCATTCTGAATGGTAGAACTCTAATGCATGTTAGTCCTCCTGTACAAGGATAGGACATTTTAGTTCCCCAAAGTCCCATTTTCTTGCAGAACCTACACAGAGCAAGACTTATAGTAAACTAGAAGCAGCATCCTGGTCTCATTTGTATGAAATCAAAATTTCTTCCATTCAGATTGGAACTGGGAATGTTAAATCCAACCTCAATCCTCAATACAGTGGAATTCTTATAAGGAGACAGAAAATACACCACAGCTTGGTCAATGGAAGTTGTCCTATTCTAATGCTTGAGGGTTAAAATAATCAATCAATCAATCAATCAATCAACAAATCCTTCCTTCCTTCCTTCCTTCCTGCCTTCATTCCTTCCTTCCTTCCTTCCTTCCTTCCTTTCTTTCTTTCTTTCTTTCTTTCTTTCTTTCTTTCTTTCTTTCTTTCTTCCTTTCTTCGATCCCTCCATCCTTCCTTCCATCATT